ACCCTCCTCGTCTGACCCATTGCTGAGGAATTGTTTGGTTTAGGTAATCCCGCACGAATGTGGCTAAATGTGGAGGAGCTCCATCTAACTGGAGAATAAAATTCTCCGGTATTTGGGGCACTGCATACCCTTCTAACATATCCAGGAAGTTCTTTCCCATCACAGCTTGTTCAGCAAAAAAGAAGGGGCCAATGACTCTGTCTCGTCCAATTGTGCACCACACATTAACTTTCGGGCTATCACGTTGATGTTCCATAATGACATATGGAGGTTCATTACCCCATATTCTAACATTATGCCGATAGACTCGTCCCGAAACATGAAACGTAGCCTCATCACTGAACATAAACTTGTCTAAAAATTCTCGGTCGTGTATGGCAAGAGCTTGAATATCATCTTGATGTCTGCAGTGCAACTAAATGAGCGCATATCGAAATCTACTGAACAGGTAAGATTCTTGGAGAGTTTCTCTTTATTTTGACGTTTCTTTCATGTCTCTATCGTGCTTTGTTCCAAAACTATGACTGTTTGTTACCCCATCATTATTTTACGGACACACTGTATATACAGCCAGTGTTATAAACATGGATAGAGGCATCAGTATAGGCTGATTCAAAACACAAATTAATATTCTGAACATGTCACATAACCAGTCTGGGGGCTTCCTTCAATTACGCCCATAAAATTCACAATACTTCCAGCATTTGTTGATTATTACTTACATATGATGTGAAAATGTAACTAATAAAACTAAACTACCCTTACTCCAAGTGACCGGGGTTCAATCCCCGACGGTGGCAGAGGATTTTTCCTCTAGACTCTGCGTCCAGACTGGCTCTGGGACCCACCCAGCCTCCTCTACAATGGGTACCGGGGTCCTTTCCAGGGGGTAAAGCCGGCCGGGCGTGATGCCGACCACTCACCCCATCTAGTGCCGAGGTCAAGGAAGAGAGGAGCTATACCTCCATTCACCCCAAGCACCTATACGGCACGTAGTGGGACAAACTTTACTTTACTTTACTTTACTTTTACCCTTACTCCAAGACCAGCAAAGTGCCAGGTCAGAAGTGAAACCTCTAGTTTAAGTCCATGAGTAGGTTTGGTTAGGTTAGGGTTATCACACACCTCATGAGGCACTGATAGAAAAGTATGAAGTAATGGTGAATGTGATTAGTAGCAGAGAACTTTTAGGAAAACCTGCCTGAAGTCATCTGGGATTGAACCCAGAACTATTAAAGTTACATATATACATGTAACACAGTCAAGAAATTTGTGGACTTGACCTTAAGCATCCACAGTGGTGGGCAGAGAGAAACTGGCTGTGTCTACGTCAGGTATTGGAATGATTTGACTGTGCTGCATATACAAATGGTAGATAAATGGAACATGATAGTACCAAAGCTTTGTGTCATGGTTTCGTGAGCTAACAGAAATTAAGAAGATAATTACAAATCTGGATTTTGAAAGAAGTTACAATCATTTGTTACTGATGAAGTCCACAGTGAACAATGTAACAGGTCAGTGCTTCTTCGGGGTCTACTAGGTGCTCATTCCCTTCAGATTAGTATATTTTTGCATCAAATCTTTCAACATGTAAATAAAACTGAGTGCTGCGTTATATGTCCAGATGTGAACATAACACAATAAAAATTCATAAGTTGCCTAAGTTTCATGCTGTTGTCAGCCAGTCTGTAAAATGATACTATTACAAAGTGGTCTCATCAACTGTACTGAGGATTTTCTTGGACACACCATACAGTTATGTACGTGTATGAAATCAACACATATTTACTGCTGCAAATTCTTCAATATTTCCAGACACAGCTATCATTTTCAAACACTATGAAGCATAACTGTATACTGAGTTTCCAAATCAAAATCCGTTTTTCTCTACATTTTTCATTTGCAAACGTTTGTCCTCAATCCAACATTTTATTCCTCTATTACAAAACTAAATCCTCCTCATAACAAAACATTTAAAACTGGCCAATCAGTAAAAAGTTGCTTATTTTTTCTAATTAAAAACTGTAATTACCTAACACATTATAAGTTTTATATAAACACAGGTAAACTTCGATTTCCGTCGCTTCAATTTGCACCGATTCCGAATAACGCCGCTTTTGAAACCAGCAAGTCAAAAAGTGAAAAAAATATATTTTACTATTATTTATAACGTTTTACAATGTTTCTCGCACTGATTCTTATACTAAATCTTAATTCTTACATCGCTGATTTTGAATAAAAATTATAAATAGTCACCTCTGCACTCATTGCTAAGTAGTTGCGAGATAATCTCCTAAAAATCTGCCAACATTGTGCAACAGTCACATGAGCATTGGTCACTCTTCACGGTGAGTCATTTGTGTTCAGCCTGATAAGGGAGTAAGGAAAAATGCACTCAGTTCACTTCTTGTTGACACATCGAATGTGCTGAAAACTGTGTGCTAAATGTGTTTGTGTTATTGTTCGACCACTATTCTGCAGTAGCAACTGTTTTATATTTATAAATTATAGAAGAGCCACCATGTCTGGTAAGAGAAGTGAATGTGTTGCTAAAAAGTTGCATAGGTCTATTGCATTAGAAGATGAGATGGGCGTAATTCGTAGAATAGAAGGTGGTGATACCTGTCGTAATGTGTGCAGAAGTATGAAGTTGTCTCCTTCCACTGTGACTACCATAATGAAAAATTCATATAAAATAAAACAGTCAATGCAACAGGCTACGAGAGTAAGTGCAACGCAAGTGAGTTATAGCAGAAGTAAACTTTTAGAAAGAATGGAGAAATTACTGTTGCTATGGGTGGATGACATAAATCGAATAAACATTCCCTTGACTGAAATTGCTATCACGGATAAGGCGAAGTCAATTTTTGAGAAACTTAAGTCGTCGATGTTTGGGTGCCGGGAACGCATGTCATTGATTTACATTATAAAAAGAGTTTCAATTTATGCCGATTCCATATTTACGCCGGTTCGTCCAGGAACGCATCCCCAGGGTAAATCGAGGTTTACCTGTACATGATACATTTGCAAACAGCAGACTGTAAAATCTAACATCAGGAAATATTATTCTCTTCACATTCATTTCAAACATATGTAATAACTAGTAAAAGTTTGTAAATGATTGTTTAATAGCTGCATTGGAAAATTCTGTTTCTACTGAAAATTAAACAATCAGTTGCAAATACTGCAAAAATTATAATGCCAGTCTGTAAGAACTAAGAACCACAAAGCAGAGTTTCATAGGTACATTTATCCAATTCTGTTATTATTCTAATCCTGTAATTATTTCATACCTCAAAACTGTTTATTATGCATCCTCAACATTCAAATAAGTACCTTGAAAAGTAAAACATAATTTTTTGTTGCATAACTGTTTAAGAGCTGGTATACTGTTCAGGTAAAAAGTATAACTGCCAATGACAAATACTCTCAATACAACTCAGTCTTTCATGTCATATCACACAAATTCTTCAATGTACTTTTCCTTTGGTAATATGTGATTGTCTCAGCCAAAACAAATAAGTAAATAAATAAATTTACTACCTATCAGACAAAAAAATATAAATTATTCTTCTGTAATTAACCAATAACTGAAATGACATGATTCCCTGCTATAATAAGTGGCATTTAGACACACAACAAATTTAAGCGACTAACTTTCTGTAAATAATGCATGAGTTTAAAGAGCATCCAATGGGGACATATTAATATTTCTACTAAAACAAAAATGCTGTAATGCTGGGGCTAATGAAACAAATAATATATTCTTAGAGAATGGACAATTACAATCCTGGAAGCTTAAGATAAAATTTTTAAAAGAAACATGTCTTCCAATTGGTTTTTATGATACTGGATTTGGGCTGAGCTGCACTATCCAAAAATGCCAAGAGCCCAAGTGATTATTAAATTATACACACAGTTTAACTTGACAGTAGTCATACTTAATATTATAAGTTATTAATCAAACCAGATGCATAAGACCTAATTAACCATTAACCTAAACTTTTAAGGACAGTATAAACAAAATATTTAAGATTCTGAATAAACAAATCTTTTACAAATTATATTGTGTGTTAGTCCCGTGCGGTCTGAGGCATCATGCTTCTGACCGGTGATACGAAATGCGCACTGGTTCGAGTCTCAGGGAAAGAAATTTCTCATGAGATTTTCGACCGATGTATGGAACTGGTGCCAACCCAGCATCGTGAGGAAATTGGGGAGCTACAATGGATAGCGTAATCCGGTCATGGAAACTAGTAATGGCTGGGGATTCGTCGTGCTGACCACACGTCACCCTATATCTGGTTGGATGATCGTTCACCTCTGCTTTGGCATGTGAACGTGAGGCCAGCAGCCAGCTAGTCGGCTTTGGCTTTCAGAGGGCTGTTACACCACAGATTATTATTATTATTGTGTGTTAACCCTTCACCGTGGTTGGACGTCTTGTGACGCCCTGGCATTTAAATTCCCGGTCTGCTGCTAAGCCTAATTTCAAAAGCCCATAATTATGGAAACAATAACGACTGATATATGATGTTTGTAGTTGATCTGGTGTGGAAGAAATGCTCTTTCTGATCATGTATTGGCAACGTCACATTCTTCGATCTCTAAAGGCTAGTCTGTGAATAAATGCGTGACCTAAGAGGTTACACAATCTTCCAAAGAACACTGAGCTGTTTGTTTGGTTAAGTATCAAATGTAGCACTATATATCAATCTCATCCTAATGTTATAGCTCCTACTCTTTCTTGACCTCAGCACTAGATGAGGATGAGTGGTCAGCATCACGCCCCGGCCGCGCTTTACCACCGGGAAAGGACCCCGGTACCCATTGTATAGGAGGCTGGGTGGGCCTCAGAGCCGGTCTGGACGCAGAGGCTAGAGGTAAAATCCTCTGTCATCCAGCCCGTAGCTAGTCATTATACTGACTGAGCTATCCCGGCTCACACGAAGTGTTTGGGATAAAAATATTTAATTCTCAAATCCCCACGAATAACGTAATTTTTCTAGTTATTTATTATATAATTTAGCAAAGAGTTTGTTTCAAGGTGTTTTTCATCACAATACATTGAGACCTAAAGACATGAAGTGCTTGGGATAGTTCCCAAATCCCCAGGAATCACATCATTTTCAAATTATTTAAAATTATTCTGGTTATTTATTATGCAATTTAGCAACGAGGTTGTTTTAAGGTGTTTTTCGTCACAATACATCGAGACCTAAAGACAATGCAAAATTAAGTGAACAGATTTTTTTTACATCACATCACATGAATGAGGCCTAAAGATAATGCAAAATGACATGATCAGTTTCAAACACAAAAATTTATCTATAAAGCAATGCACACTGCATAATTAGCAACATACTTGCCTAAAATGTCACTAGACTTTTTTTTATTGAGATTTGAGTTTCTCACAGTGATGTTTGTTTTCTAGATAGCTATGCTGTGTGGACACAATGCATTACTACCCAGAAAACAAACATCAACAGACTTCTTTATTACTGAAAAACACTAAAGACAAAGTATTTCCTTACAACTTTGCTTTTTAATTCAAACCATTTCATTCATGTTATGTGCGACTAGTCTTGAAAACACCAAGACATCCCAAAGTTACTCTCCAATACACTACAGCTTTTGCAAGCAATAGCCATAAAGAAACCCTGACCCCTCCTAAATTTGTATTTATTTGTGCATTATCCATAGTAACAAAGAATGGTATGATTAAAACAAGTAGAAACATAATTTTCAATACCACCAATCTCTCCCTCAAACACACACACACACACGCAAATACACACTGGCACCAATCTTCCTTCAAAACTTCTGTTGGTATGAAACACTGAACAAAGTATTCAACATCATTGCAAACACGGCTCCAAAAATCCATCCATTGCACATATCTGTCATCCAAAGTAGTGCATAAATTAACCAACCAGGCCTCCAAACTAAATATATTTCTTTGTGTTTTTATGTTAATGTAACAGTTCTATATTTTAATTTGGAAGACCCTTACTTGCATTATGTTCTCTTTCTGACATAGCCAAACCAACACACACATCACCATACTACATTCTGAAGACACAGAATTAGCACAGGCAAAAAAGTGTCAGAAATACTGCCACTTTCCAAGGATTGCATCTTTGATGGCATCAACATACTGCGCTGGAACCCAATACACCCAGTACCTTGATGCATCTGTAGGACCAAGCTGGATTCCCTACAAAAACAAACAACCTTACAAAGGTTTGAGGTTTTCACAGCAGTGAGTATGAAGATTTCTGTCTTCTGGGTTGTTGCGCTGTGTAGTCTGGTCGATGTTAACCAACGTTTCAGAGGTAATACTGCCTCCGATGACAGAGGCAGTATGACCTCTGAAACGTTGGTAAACATCGACCAGACTACACAGTGCAACAACCCAGAAGACAGAAATCTTCAACCTTACAAAGCCTAAAACTGTACTTCATATATTTCTTACATATATCATAGATATAAAAGCATAAATATATACCATTGCTGCATCTCTAATGGCAAATTCTTGTTCCATTTTCTTTTTTAATTTAGTAATTCAGACTATATAGCATCAAATGAGAGGACGATAGTGAATAATGAATTTGAAAAGATGTGGAAAGAAGCAGTAGTGGCCTAAATTAAGGTTCTACCCCAGCATTTGCATGGCGGTACAGAGGAAAAACACGAAAAACCTCAGTCATGATAGCCAGTCTCAAGGCCAAGATTTGAACCTGGGACTTCCCAAATATAAAATATGATTGCCAACCACTCGACCACAATGTTCAGTTGATAAATCATGGTAATTCTTGTTCATTTTCATTAAAATATCGACCTTGTGAAGGATGGTATACCTAAATTTGAAAAATAATGGATACAATAATTAGCAAGTTAAATTTTATGAAAAAACAAAGGTAAAATTTCCAACTGAAATAGCCTTGCATGATATTTTCCATTTTAACAGCTGACATGACCAGATTACTCCAACAATAATTTTAGATTTTAGTTTTCAATACAAGATCTTTACAATTGTATTGGCCATAAGTATGGAGCCATACGTGGAAGAAATACTTGGGGAATACCAATGCGGCTTCTGACGAGGACGACCTAATACAGATCAAATCTTCAGCTTAAGAATAATGCTAGAGAAGGCCTATGAGTACAATGTGGATATCCAGTTCTATGTAGACTATAAACAGGCATACGACAGCATCAACAGAGCACAATTAATAGAAATAGGGTGCCAGACAAATTGGTAGGGCTTGTCAAGAAGACTATAGAGAACACTAAAAATAAGGTGAAAATCTAAGGAAAGATGTCCCCCAAGTTTCCAAACAGTAGCAGGATTAAGGCAAGGAGCTTCACTATCTACATTCTTGTTTAATCTGTCCATGGAAAAGGTTATCAGAAATACGAAGACAATCCCAGGAGGCACAATCTTCAATAGAACAAGACAAGGCTAGTATATGCAAGTGATGTAGTGATTTTAGGATGAGCAGTGAGATATGTCACAGAGACAGTAGGAGATATGGCAATTATGGCAACTCAACACAATCAAAACAAAATATATGATTAATAGAAAGGATAATGATGAGCCAAAGGAGACTGAAATAATTGGCCAGAAATATGAAAAGGTTGAAATGTTTAAGTATCTAGGATCCCTGGTAACCAATCTCAATGATATTAAAATACAAATAACAGCTAGACTAGCTGCAGGTAATAAATGCTACCATGCACTAGGCCATATACTAAAGACATTAATCTCTGTAATTCAATTACAAAGAATGGAATGGCTTCGGCATGTTATGAGAATCAATGACACAAGGGTAGCAAGACAGATGCTGGATGACAAACCAGGAAGGAAAAGGAGGAGTGGGAGACCTAGAATTAGATGGCTGGATGATGTGTTGGCAGACCTGAGGAGTATGGGGGTAAAGAGATTACAGGAAGAAGAAAAAGGTGATTTCAATTCAGGAAAATATTAATATTGTAACTTTGCAATTACAGTACTCACGTAGTGGTACGGACTGGATTCATCTGGCTCAGAACAGGGACCAGTGGGTGGCTCTTGTGAACATGGTAATGAACCTTCAGGTTCCATAAAATGTTGGAAATTTCTTGAGTGGTTTAGTGACTATTGGCTTCTCAGGAAGGACTCAACTCCATGGAGTTAGTAAGTATGAATACTAGAACTGTTATAACTTTCTCTTGCAAAAACCTTTTTAATTCTAATAAACGTTTCTCTATTTCTTAAAGTAACAGGGAGATAATGTTCATATAGACAATCATTTTTAAACATGACACAATTCTTTGGCCAATTGCAATTCTTATTAGAGACATAGAAACCTGACTATTGTGAATATTGGTATTTCAATAAAAACTGAAGACAGTGAAGGAGGATCGTCTTATATAAAGGTAAATATAGTACTTGAAGGCTCTTGAATGATACAGCAATGGAGACGCCTTTCTTCACGACAAAGATAGTAAATTATCACTTACCATTATATGATACTCTTCATGTCCTTCTATAGGCTCACTGACCACACCTTTTATTGTGTTCATGGGGATCTTGTCTGTTCTTTCCTTGGTGCCAATCCACACTTGGTCCTGCTCCATTTTGAACGTGAGACGCACCTTACCTCCAGATTTATTCAGCATTCCAGAAAGTGGGTATGGCGGGAGAGCATCCTAGCAGCATATGCAAGAAGCGTATTCATAAAATATACTTAAGATGTACTGGACAGTAGATCAATTAGTAGGGCATCAGCCATGTAAGTGAAGGTACCAGGTTTGAATTTCAGATATACCCACTATCCTGAATAAGGTTTTCATGGTTTCTAACAACTTTCCAGACACGGCACATGACCCGTTTCCAACCAATTATTTTCCCCTATATAATAACAACCAACACTACCATTCCATTGCCACCTGCAGAGGCCAAACCATCCAGACATTCCATCAAACAGTCGCATATATACTCTACACTAAATGGTTCCTCTGACAAAGAGCCATTCTGAGTACCAAATTCATCTGCATACAATGGTCACAAACATTTTATGATGTAAAACTGGATATCTGGAATTTCCACAAAGAATGAATGAATGCAAAAGCTTGCAAAAAAAAGAATACTTTATAGCTTTCACAGTCATTATAGACCTGATGATAAAAAGAACAGCCCACCTGGGAACTGAACCTGGGTCACCTGCACCGCAGGCACACACCCTACCAACCAAACTATGATGGCAAACTGAAGTTAAGTATCCTTTTATGGGACATACAAAGTAAAAGCAAAGAAAGTGCAAAATAAAATAATATATTACAAAGAAACTGTGGAGTGTCTGCATGTAATATTTTGGCCAAGATGTCAGAGGAGGATCTGCTGCCGTACTGAAAAACTGGAGCTGAATCAAAGAGCAACAGTTGATTGGGTCCCCTTCTCAGTAGGTCAAGTTCATACTGAACATATCATACTTTCAATTTATTTTCTAAATTTGTACTTCTGCTCCACATACTTCATATTAACGAGGCTCCACTGCATATACTTGTGTCCATTTACTTCTTAAGAGCCAGTCATAATTGAAGACTGTAATCAAATTTATATTTTAGTATCTATCCAGATAACTCATATAAATTTCTTAAAATATCTGAGCAAATTGAGTAATGTTTACTTATAAACTTCTGACAGATGTAAAACTCTCGCTTTCAGGGATGAGCTGCATCAATCAATGAAACTTGTCCAATGATACAGCAAACATTGCATTTGCCATCTTCATGGCGAATATGTTGATTCGGTGACCAATGTTTAACAAAATGTTGGACAACTTTTAACAAACACTGCAGCTATTCATCAGAAGCAAAAATTTTACATTGATCTTGAGGTACAAAACCCTAAAGAACAGAATTCTGACAGATGTTCAACAGAATAGCCTCAATTCAATGTTCATACTATAATCACCTTGGTGTTCTTAATTCCTGGCATAACATCATCTGGTACACCTTTATCTAACACTTTCCTATGTTGTTTCTGTTTGCAGAATGGCTCCTTGCTTGCAGTAGCCATCTTCTCATCTTGTATATCCTGTAATATATGAAACACAGTGAAATACTTAATATGTCACCATGGCATGGCCTGACACTGAGGATGGAGCAGAAGTAAAATAAAGTAAAATAAAGTAAAAAGTAAAGCAGTCCCGCTACATGCCATGTAGGTGCTTGGGAGGAAAGTGTAGCTCCTACTCATTCTTAACCTTGGCACCAGATATTGGTGAGTGGTCAGTATCACGCCCCGACCACACTTTACTCCTGGGAAAGGACCCTGGTACCCATTAAATAGGAGGTTGGGTAGGCCCCAGAACCAGATGGAGCACAAGGCCTCCACATAATGAGAGTAGCTGTGAATATAGATACTGGATTAATCTGAATAAGGATAGAGACTGCTGGCAGGCTCTTTTAAACAGGGCTGTGGATTCGGTACTGAAACCTCCGACTCCGGCTCCTTCATAAAAGCTTAATATGTATTAATAATGGTAAACCTACTAAAATGGTACCATAAGAAATTTCATTACCACCATGTGAATCATCAAGCTAATTTTTAGAACTATAACCTACATTTAAATATGTCTAATGGTTATTGCAGAAATTGGTTGATTTGTAGACTGTTTGTATTCTTAAGGTACCAGAGCCAAAGTTACAAAGCATTTTTCCCACACCATGTGGCTCAATGCATCATTGAATCTCCATAAGAGTGAGGCCTCTGGTGGCTCACATGGTAGCAAAAGTGTTAAAATGGTATTTTCTTAAGATTTTATATCTGAGTCGGAGTCGGTACATTTGCATTGCTGCATGTTGATTACAGCTAATATTTCTCAATATATTATTTACTAGATAAACAGTTTTTCCATTTATTAAATGTTTGCATACAGAGTACTGGAATGGCAGAATATATTTTTGCTGTTACTAAGTTATTATGTAAATATGTAATCTGTTAATGTCATACCACTTAAAGTTGTTTTCCACAAACACAACCTTGGTATTAATTGACCATTCCCCATAAAAAGGCATATTTATGATGTGCTTCTTAATTGAAAGTCTGAATATTATATACTTCTTCCAGTCCACACTAATTTACTTTTATTGTTTATTACAATAATCAGAAAAATCTACAGTAAAATATTCTAACCTGTTTACTAGGTGTAGATACTGCAAGAACATCATCCAATGTGGATCCTACAACCATCACCTTTGCACCTTTCACAACACCCAACTCCCTCAAAGTGCGTTCATCTTTTGCTAAGCCTTTTATCATCACCTTCTGCATTGACTGAGGAACTCCTGCAAAGGCAACACAAAAATGTTATCAAACTGAGGTACAGTTTTGGTTTGGGTTTGCTTGAAAAACAATATAATGCTCTGATTTAATTTCAGTTGAAGAGTTTAAAGAAATGGAGAAAATCTCCACATGAAAAATTCATGGCACTATCACTGGCATTCAGTTACATGACAGTTCCTTATATACAACTACAGTCCAGAGTAGTGATTCCCAAACTGTGTTCCATAGACCTTATGGTTCTGTGGGGGGAGGGTGTTTTAGAGGTTCTGTTGGTAAATAACTTTGACAGAGAACTTCATTATGAACGACAACTTATGAAAGTAATTTTCTATTACAATTACAAATCTGCAAGAAAATACTGGTTCTAGAGCATATAAAGCAACATTTTTAATACTTTCTGTATGTGATTAATAGCATAAATTCATCACAAACGGTGACAATGGGACTACAATCCAATTATGTTTGTTTGTTGGTATAACTTGTCATCCACCTGAAAGTCTATGACAGATAAACATATCTGAAAGTTCTATTCCTTCATTTACACCAAGGGACAAATATTCTATTAAGTTTTCATTCCAAATTCCTTCACAAGTTCTGGAAATCAGAAACCAATGAATGCTCATACAACAGGCAGAAGATTGGGGCAACACTGTGGCATGGACTTTATAGTATGCGTGATCACAGCATCAACTGCCACGTTTCCTAGTCAGTCAACAGTGGTAACAGAGATTGCAGTACTATCATGGAGCCACTTCCGTTACAGGAAGTGCACACACTAAATGTACCGCTAACCAAGTGCGTTCAGGGAAAACTTATTTATATTAACATTATCTTTTGATTTTCTTACTTAGTTCATGTACCACTCAACATTGGCTCACGTACCACCAGTGGTACATGTACCATAGGTTGAGAAACACTGATCTAGTGTAAATGTTTACATGTCCTACACAAAGTAAATCTTGAATAACAATGAGTCATAAGTTAATGTCCAAAGCTGCAAGGGGAAATAACTTAGTTACAAGATTTCAACCAGCTACATATGACACTGAGAACTGTAGCACACATATAATGACATTTTTATAATATCCATATACACTGTAATAAGAAGAAATGTAATTACCTATTATATCTTGCAGATGTTGCTTCAGTTGGCCAACTGTGCTGTCAAGGAGAAAATTTACATCATATTTGTTTTTGTTGTATATCACTTTAAAGTCTACACTCTCTTTTGGTACCTCTAACTCATCCCCTTCTTCTTTTGTTTGTGTACAAATGTCACTTTCTGCCCCCTTGCTCTCTGAGTTACACTTGCCACCACTGGCATCACCTTGCTCTGATCCTGAAAGATTCAAAATATATATATATAAAAACAATAATACAATAAGAAGTTGAAATGCAAAATTTGCTGCATACCATAAATCAAATGTGTTGCATACTAACTGACTATTACATTACTTAATTACATGTTTCTAACTGTAGATGTTATATAACACTGAATGAGATAAAGATCATAAATGGTGAGGCAAGCATTTGACAGGAGGAAGTCATGGTCTATCTAAAGTACTGTCTCAGCATTTACCTGAAAAACTGAGAACCACAACAACCTACAGAGGACAGTCAATAGCTTGGCTAAGATACAAACTGGATGTGTCTCAAAGGTTTAAAAATAATTGGGAAAGTGTTTCTGATGAATCTTTTGAACTCTGAAGGGACAGTCCTAGATGAATTTAAAGAATGGAAAATCTCATTAAAGAATGTAACATTCTATGCAACAAATTGAAATAAGCAATTATTGCACACACAGTAGTATACTCTCTTAATGTGTTCACATGCTTCAAGATAATGTCTTATGTACACATACGGTTTCCTCAATGACTGAAACACTCAACCAACTAAAATCTGAGGTGGCTACTAATCCAGATCCTGCACCATTTGACTGTCATCTTATGTACACAGAGAAATTACCTGCATTAAGAGTGACATAAATCAACACATACATTGCCACCAATGACTGGTTAATTTACATTACTTTAGTGGCAAATAAGTGACTTCTGACTCTTATTAATACAAAAAAACACAATTAAGAAAAATGTGGAGCACAAAGAACATATGTGAAACTACTCATGTGTCTAAATTATTATATCAATATCTGCTGCATCTGTACAGAAAGGTGGCACCACTATTTTAAGAGCAGAAGTGAAAACATGATGTATCAAAACACTAAGAACCCAAATCATTTTATGGCATACAGAAAGTCTGTAACGGAATTATATTATGTTTGTCTGCCTTTAAATGAAGCACAAAACTGTCAAGTCAGCAGAATAACAATTTTTTTTAAGATTGTGCGTTAAGTCAAACATGCTATTAAATGGGAAATACCGATTGAAAACTCTACCAACAATGGGGTCATGTTCAATCTTCTAGCTCAATTATTCGCAACAAACAAAATTAACTGTTCAAACGCCTACGATCCCTTTACAGAAAACATTAAGATTTCTGAGGTTATGAACATACTGTATTTGGAATGTAATGTTGATTCCTTACAATTCGAAAATGACATGCACGTTATTAAGAAATAAAAATGTAAGTTAATTTACAACACAGAAGCAAAAAATCGGTAAGGATAGCTGCATTAAGATATAATTTAGTTCTTAAAAAATTCAAACGTGCTCAAAACCCACCCGCTGGAAAAATTACAGCAAATATTCAACAAATTTACGAAAAACATACATACCAACACACTCCATACTGGATTACTTTTAATAACCAATCACTGAAGAGCATAGATAATATATTAGATAGAACCTCAGTGACACTACATAACTTAGGAAATTCAACGGTAGCTGTAAGCTGTAAACATCACACACGTAGATTCTTAGCTATGTACTTAGAGCAATGATGAGTGAAAGTATGATTTGTTCAGCGTACAAAAAATGCCAGCGGTTACAATTAAAATACATAATTCATATTTGTTTCCCTTACACTCAATAACAATCTGAAACGTCATATTTAATTATTTCATAATGAGGACTGTGAGCCAACGAATATTACGTTTCCACTTGGAAATAAAACCTACCCCAAATTATGTGAACTCCAAAACACATACGAATTAGGTATACACATACAAAGTGCCTCAGATGTCTTAATATGCTGCCACTGACTAATACAGAAATTTTTTAAATCAATAATATTCATAATACTCTAAATAAAGAGTGGATTGTGGTCTCCTGGGTTGTTGCCATATAGCCCTGGAGGTGGTTATTCTGTATTTGAGGACTATTGCTCCCCATCTTCCTCCCTGATGAAGAGATGTAGTCCTCTAAAATAATGATAACCACCTGCAAGATTAAATGGCATCACAACGCACATTTCTACCACTGTAAAAATCTCAATATCATACACTAAAATATTAGTTTGCTTTATAGGGACTAGTTGTTAATTATAATGTCTTTAAAATTTTATAATTAAATTAAAAGTGAACATATTTAAAATTCATATTTTTTGAGGGAACAATAATGTAAGTATTATTAATGATTAAGTGTTATTAAATCACTTACCACAAAACAGGTTAAAACATGCTACCTAACTGGATTTCAGAGAAAACTCCAAAATAGTGATATTCAAATCCAGTCATGTTTATATTTTCTTTTATTCCCTAAAACAGTAATTAAGTGACTACCCTAAAAACCAAAAATTAGTCATTATTGTATATATAGCCATACACGATACTCACAGCTTAGTTGCAGTCTACAGCTCCGTAATATCGGACACGCACCTCACACCCAACCCGGTATGTTATAATACTTTAAATATTTTGTGATTACTTTTCTTTTGCTTGTATTACGATATATTGAGTAATTCTTTAAAATTATTCCATTTCCTATGTCAGTAGCCAGGATCACGATATGAAAATTAAAATTGATTTTGCAGATTTAAGGCATCCAGGCGCAGCCCTCAAAATTAAATGGAAGAAGCCTGGAGGTTAAACAAATAAAATCTAACGGGTAGAACAAAATCAGTATACGCAGAGCAGCAGATGCAACAGTTTTTAATTTTGATTGATAGACCTGACGATGATGGAATGAACATCGAAACATGTCGTCATTTTAAAATGTAACAATATCAAATGTTGAAATGTTATAATTTTATGTGATTTTAACAATCTATAAGCTTGTGTAAAGACGGTGAATAAAATTATTGTAAGTCTAATAATGAATTACAGGGCTCACCTCAACTTTTACAAGTTCTCTGCCCAAAGTTCTAGCATAGACTGCTTATTGTAAAGGTTGTCTTTGCTGGCTGATTGTGTTATTCTGAGTTGTGATACATAGTTCTGTAGGTGGGTAACGTTAACATTATGGAGGAACATATATCCATCTTCAAAATAGGGGTGATACTATCCCGATGATAATCACGACAGTGATTCTGATGACCATAATCAGTACAGTACAATGAATGTTTA